CTTCAGAGTTTTGTAGATTTCAGCATAGAGACCAGTACATACTCCTTTAAATTTATACCTAAGTATTTCCTGTAGGTTTTTTTATTTCGTTTTGTTGTTGGTGGTGGTGGTTTTAGGGATGGAGACAGGTTTTGTTTTTTATTATTAAAAAAAAAAAAAACTCCTCAGGAATGTTAACAAAGGAAATGTGTTTCACACTCAGAGTAGACACCAGGATACAAAATTACAAGGGTTTTGGCTTTGCTCCTGCCCCCAACTCCTCAAAGAGCAGAGATGAGGAAACAGTTAACAGGTAATTTTGTAAAATAAAGACTTAGAAACCCTGCACATATGAATTTCTTACCTTGTTTTACTACAAAAAAATAATATATCAGAAAGCATGCTTTAGTGACATGCTAGCCCCAACAGAAAATGACACCAAGAACCCCTGTCAGCAACGTACTCAAGTTGACCAGCCAACTTTAATTTCTGAGCCCAAGTGTACAAGTACATGTGTGCCTTTCAAACCAAAGTCATGGGGCTGAAGTGCTTCCTACCACCAGTAAACTGTTTGTACCTATTAGACCATCTGCGTCTACATACATGGTTGGGTAGTGTGCAGAGAAATCCTGAAGTGGTAGAGAGGGAATAACAGCTCAAAATAGTCAATTTATTAAGCACTTCCCCTGACACCCTAATCAGGAGATCTCATTTCCAGCCAGACTACTGTCCTTCCAGTTTAACTCCTGTTGACCAGGCTTTTCTATTTTAGAAAAAAAAAAAAAAAAAAAAAGCAAATACACACACTCACGTACATATAATATATATATATATATATATATTAATTGTTTCAATTAGCTTTTTAGTGGATTTTTTAGGGTTGTCTATGCATATTATTATGTCATATGTAAATAGTGATAGTTTTACTTTTTTCCCAGTTCAGATTCCTTTTATATCTTTCTTTTGCTTAATTTCTATAGTAGGCCTTCCAATTCTGTTGAACAATAATGATGACAGTGAAAAGCCTTATGTTATACCACGTCTTAGTGGAAAAGCTTTCAGCTTTTCATTAGAATGTTTGCTGTGTGCTTTTCATATAAGACTTTTATTATGTTGAAATGTGTTCTATCTATCCTGTTTTTTGAGGGCTATTATCATAAATGGATATTGAATCTTATCAAATATTTTCTCTACATCTATTTGATATGATCATATGATTTTTAACTTTCCTTTTATTGATATGGTGAATTACATTGCTTAATTTTGGGATGTTGACCAGCCCTTGTATCCCTGGAATAAATCCCACTTGGGCATATGTATGATGCTTTTTAATGCATTGTTGAATTCAGTTTGTTAACATTTTGTTAAGGATTTTTATATACATATCAACAGGGAAATTGATCAGTAGTTTCCCTTTGTTCTGGTGTTTTTGCTGGTTTTCATATCAAGGTAATGTTGGTCTTATAAATGTGTTTGGAAGTCATTCCTCTTTGTCAAATTTTTGGAAGAGTTTGAGAAAGATATATTTCTCTTTGAAGGTTTAGTAGAAATCACTAGTGAAACACTCTGGTTCCAGACTTATGTTTTCTGGGAGACTTTGATTATGTTTCAATTTCCTTACCTATAATTGGTCAGTTCAGGCTTTCTATTTCTTCCTGATTCATTCTCAGATTGTTGTAAATCGCTACAAATTTGTCTATTCTAGGATATTCAATTTAAAGGCATACAAATGTTCATAGTTATAATTATATTTTTGCTTATAAGTAAACTTCTCTTTATCATATTCAAGTATAGGATTTTTCAGTTTCCTCTCAGCTTAGGATTAAGTGGTTTAATTAGTATATTTATACATTGAGAAAAGATTAAATAATGCTCAGTGTATTTTATTCAGTCAGAGCAATGAGTAAAATAACTTAAATGTTATTGCTTTGAAAATAACTGGAAAATACAGCTTCTAAGAATGACTACCTCGATAGGAGTCCAGGTAGTTAAAGCTTTATTTTCACATACGAATTTTTCAGTTAAATTCCTTATACTATTTTTCATACGATTTTGATATACATAATACCAGCCCAATGCCTTCAAAATGATGTAATTGGCTAAATCATTTTAAAAGTACTCCTATGTTCACTGTAGCATTATTTGCAATAACCAGGTTATAGAAACAACCTGAGTTGCCAAGGGCAGATGAGTGGATTAGAAATATGTGGTATATGTAGCCCATGGAATACTACTCAACTATAAAAACAAGATAGATAAACTCTTGTCATTTGTGATTAGATGGATGGAACTCGATGGTTTAATGTTAAATAAAATAAATCGGACAGAGAAAGACAAATATCTTATGTGTCACGTATATGATAACTATAGAGAAGCAAACAGTGTTAGATAAAACCAAACCAATAACACATCCTAGAAATATGACTATAGAATTGAGGTTACCAAAGGGGAAGGGGTGAGAAGGGAGGGTGAGAGCTAAGGGGGCAGGGGACATAATGGATTTCTATGGAGGACTAATGGGTACCTTTGTGGTGGGTGTGGTATCATAATAACATCTGAAAACGGTTATCCTATACCTCTAAATCATATACAGAATTGAAAATCAATGTTACTTCAATAAATAACAATCAACCATCAACTGGATGCAAAATACAAATATTTTAAAATATAAAATATTATAAATCTTTTGCTTTATAATTTAAGAAAAATGTGTTCACATATCCTAAATTATTTATAACAATCCAGACTGGTGGGTAAAACAAATCATGAAATCCAGAATTTAGCAAACTAGGAAATAGATGTTCACAGAAAATAAGTGATATACCCAGTATTTTTCATTGGATGAAAGTAGGGCAAAAGCCATATGGTGGATGGGTGGTAGAATGCAAAGTGTATTAGCCTTGAAAATCTTAGGTTAAAGCTAAAGATAATTAATTCAGTATTCAATTCCTTAATTCAGTTACTCTCTCTACCCAACCACTAGAAACTCAATTCCCATAAATCAAATATTTTGTCATTTTATTTTCACATAAATAAGAGTCAAACTTTTAAAATGAAGGTCTATACAACTATTTTCCTGATTTCTGTGCAAATGATTAGAACTTTGGCTATGTAGTCATTCAATATCTTGCCATTTAATAGACCAAGTTAAGCAGAGATAATGGGTAAGCAGAGATAATGACAAGTTATGTTGCTTATAAGAGAATGAACTTGCAATGCTTTGAAAATAGTAGACCTCTTGAAGTGAAATTAGAAAGGTTGCAGTGTTATAGTCAGAGCTGTTGACTACAGATAGCTGTAGTAGTTGTCACTTATATTTGGCTATTTTCAGCAGAGAAGCACCTGCTGTTTTTTAAGGTTCTTATTGTATTTGGGTAGGGCAGGTATCCTCAAACTTGGGGATCATCTTACATTCTGGGATTTTTGTGGTAGATTCAGCCCTACCAAGAAGGACTAGCACCATTACCCTGATTATTCTCTAATGAATTGAAGTTTATACTCTCCTCAGAAGTCACTTCAAAATACATTGGTTCTAAAACAACACTAAATCGGGTATTTCAGGCATTTGACCTCTATCTTCTGACTCCTTCCTCTCATGACTACAGTTTGCAAAGGAACCCCAAATTGTTCTGAAACCTGGCAGCCATAATAGTAAAAATTGCCTTGATGGATATTGTCCCTATACTTTGGCCCAAACACCTTTGAAAATTTGGTCAGGTTGCAGATATGATGTTTATATTTTGAAATTGTTATACTTGAATAAGATTCCCTTCAGAAAGTTAGTGGAATTTTTGATTTCTGAATCATTCTAGTCAGATCTCTTAACATTAGATAGTAAGATGTTTGTGAATGCAAAACACTCAGGTGTACAAATTTCGATGGAAGGCTATATGAATGTCTTACTAGGTAGTTTTATTGTGCCAAATATTCAGAGAAAGGGAAAGTATTTTTTACTTACTTGTCAATGTACTTGTTTTTTCCTAACCCATTCTATTAGAATGATTTCTCTTTGGTTTGGTTGATAGTCTACTTATTGTTGCTGTTTTCCTAATTATAATGAGACTCTGTTTAGGAAGGATTTTTATTCTGTCAACTTCGGAATAATGATTCAACATGACAGCTATTAGCAAGAGCCTGAAATTGCCATAATAATTTCGTTGGCTCTTCTCTATAAAATGCGCTACTAGAATTCATCCTTTTTTTAAAGAAAAATTTGACCTATTTTTATTTATGAAATTAATAGAGTCATTTTCCCTTAATATTTAAATATTTGCCTATTGACAAGAAGGAAAAAGTGTTTTTTTTTCTTATTTCTCTTGTCTAATAATGATGTTGTCTATTTGGTTAAAAGATACCTAGTTTTTACAGTTTATTTTTAAGTGAAATGTACATGATTTTGAATTTTGATTTATATACTGTAGTTATTAAAGTAATTATTTTGGTTAGCATTGCCTAAAGCAAAGACATTTCAGTCACTAAAACTTCCTGTTTATTTTTAAACTTTAAAGAGAAGTTTTGTTTCAATGTGTATAAAGAACTCCTTTATCCCAGAAAGAGGAAATATAAAAGACCTTTTTGTTCCAGAGCACAGTTTCTGGCTGTGAGACATAGGCCAGATGCCTTGCTTGATTAAGAACAGTGACTGTCCCTGTTGATAATTGACCACATATGGCTAACACCATCTCTGACTTTACGTGTCACAAAAAATATTTCAGTGAAAAAGACTATTTTTCACCATGCAGTGACATTTACCAGATAAGGGCTTCCCTCCTTTTAATTTGTTTTTGCCTTTAAACTTGGTACTTATTCAAAACAAAGTCAGTAAATGTTTATACTACATATAAGTTTCAGTAAGAATGTCTCCCCTTAGCACTCAAATTATTGCCCATTACTGGGGAATGAATTTGCTTTTAGAAATATTGAAGCTTGGAAGCTGAAATTGTATTAAAAAAAACAAAAGTATAAAATTCTACACATACCAAAATTTTACTCCAATTTTCAGAGTATCTTTTTTTGTTTTTAGATGAATCTACGTTCTGTATTTACTGTAGAACAACAAAGGATTTTACAGCGTTATTATGAAAATGGAATGACAAATCAAAGTAAAAATTGCTTTCAGCTCATATTACAGTGTGCGCAGGAGACTAAACTGGACTTCAGTGTAGTCAGGGTAAGTATTGAGGTCGTACACTCTGGAATTGTAACTTTATTACAAATGATAATTGCTTAATATGAGAAAATCTGTCAGGATATGAAGTCCTTAACTTTATAAACAGCTTCATTTCCCTGGTATAAAAATACCACTTTTAAAATTAAACAGATAATAATTTAGTATCTATTTCTCCTTATAAATGCACTGAAAACACTAAAATTTTTGCATTGTAAACATATCTATTTAAAAATCCAAGTCCTTTGAACTAATAAATACTTTTTACATCATTGCTGATTTTATGCTTTCTTTAAAACCAATATTAATCTGGATATAATATACTGATATTGTATTAGTAAAACAGACATTTAAAAAGGGAATATTGTGTTCCTAGCATATTTTTGTTGTATTTTAATTTTTTTATCAGGCATTTATAACTTTAGTACCTTATGTTTTTAGGAAAACCCACCCTCTTTATGAATACCTCCTCCTCTTAAGTAAAATGCATGCATTTTAATGTTTTAGCAAATAAGAGATCAGAAATCTCAAGGGAAGAACTTTTCTTTATCACAGCCACAGTTATTTGGCTTCAGTGGGTGAGAAGAGAGTAGGATCAAAACAGGGGTGGGAAGAGCTCAGTGACCATGGTGATAGTTCACAGGTGTATGGGTGGTGGGAATTTCATGGGGACTATAACCGAGATGAGAATGCATACATTGTACAAAAATGAAAAATGATGTAAAAATATATAAAATAAAATAATAATTAAAAAAATCAGAGCCACTACACATTTGTGAAAGGCAATGAATGAAGTGTTAGGACACCAAAGATAACAGAACTAGTCACCAATTTTATTAAGTGTTTAGGTCCATTCATGTTTGTCTGAACATGTTTCAAATCCTCTTAGCATGAAACCCTACAGATTCAAAGATTAGCAACACTCCCATCCTTGCCATTCATTAGGATAATTTGCAAAAAAAAAAAAAAAAAAAAGGACATCTGTTTTTAAGTTTCATTTTCCATTGAAGAAACATATAAAAAACCTAAAATTAAAAATATCCTGATAAGCAGAATTCTTTGGAAAGTCTATTTATAAAATGCCAAAGAATATATATCACTTTCAAATAGTGAATTATGCCACTAGTTCTAAAGGAAAACATCCAGGATATCTGTCTCTTATTTCTGAGATGAGTCATCATATTTAGATTGTGTGTGAAATAGAAATAGTTCCAATGCTACCTCTAAATTCTCAATTTGAAAGACCTTCAGTAAACAAGAGAAAAGTGCTTAATTGCCTTAGTAACAGTAATATATTGTGTATAATATTTCAAGTTGATGAGATTTAATTTTGTAAAAATAAGCCCCCTGTAGTAACTTATTTCTCCCTCCCCTGCATTTATCCCACCTTTACGTTAAAGTGAAAAGCTTCTCAGCCAACTGCATTGTGGACCTCTAATATTTCCGGTTTGTACTTATAATCTTCCCCTAATAACTTATTTGGTTGTACTTTAATATGGAATATTGAAATGCAGTGGTTTTTATTTATTATCCAAATGACATGAAATCTAAAACAAGCAATGAAAATGAAAAATAAATTCCTAAAATGTAAGATTACAAGTAAAATTTTATGAAAGTTATAAGAAATTGTGAAAAACATTCATTCTCTCTGTTCTAGAAAAGTGTTATTATACAGAAATTAGTCTCCTAATCTAAATTTTGGTGTTTTGTCCGGTTGGACGAGAGGGAGTTGTTGATTTACTCATCACTCCACAATCTTGCATATATCTAATGGAATAAATGACCAGGAAGATAAAGACAGAGGTATAGTAAAAGAGGTTTGGAGATAGTGAATGTCTAAGAGAGAACTGAAAGAGAGCTTTATGGACACCAAGGATTGATGGCCCAAATGCTTTATAATTCTCTGTGCAGTATAATTTTGTTAGTTCCAAACCTTTAATTCTCACCATATAAATTGTGTTTGACCCATATTTTTTCTCTTTCACCAGTGAGGCCTATGGAGCGAAAATCATTTATATCCTATAAAAACTGGTAAATTTTAGATCCTGTAACTAAATGACTTTCAATAAAATATAACTCAGTTATAAAGAAAAACCTCAGGGAATGAATTTTCTTTATTTTTAACATCTTAAATTGAAAATATTTCTTAAGTACATGCTTTCCTACTTTACTTCAATACATAATATTGACAATAATTGAACCTTTGCTTTTTGATTGAATTTCATTATGGAAATCAATTTTTGTACTGTGCTATAAAATTATAATGCTCACAATATGGAAAAGTATATGGGGTGATTTTCTCTTTTTCTAAAGAATCCTGGCCTATTTGATGATTTCTTATATTAATTTCTATCTTCTTCCTTTTTTGTAAGCAATATTTTATGAACATTCTTAGTTCTAATGCTAACAGGGTGCCTCCAACAGCAATCTCTGTCATCAATGTCCTCATTTTGCTATTTCTAATTTGTTATTTCTTATTTTGTTATTCTAATTTGATAAATGACATAAAATCAGAGATAGTATGCTGTAAGTTCACGGGGTGTCCATTTTCTAAAGAACATGGGTCTTGTGAAATCTGTGTTGGCTATATTCTGGACAAGGGATGTTGCTAAATAGCTGAGTTTCATATACATCTGATTCTACTCATCTTACTTTTTGATAGGTATAAAATATAGTATCTGTTAAGCACACAAGTAATTATATTTTATACTTAATATGAGTATATAGCATGTATAGTTATATAGTATATATACATATATATGAACTACAGAACTGTGAAAGTAAATCATATTTACAATGCACTAAGATCACTCTTTGAGTGTGGTAAAGTAGGTATTAGAATAATAAAATGGTTGAATTTTTTTTTTTCTTTTAGAAATATGGCCCAGAGCTACCACCCTCAGATACAAGAGTTATTCTTTCAACTATTATATCTATTTTTATGTTCTTTAAAAATATTGATTTTTTAAATTAAAGTAACGTTGGTTTACATCTTTGTTAGTGTTTTGTAAGTGCAGGATCCCCTCTTCAGCTATAGTCATCATTCTTGAGTTCAAATTTTATCAAAACATAATGCTTTCCCACTGAAATTTTTTAATTTGATGATTATATATTTTGTAATAATTAAAAACAAATGTATCATGCTTTTATGTTTTTATATACTAGAAAAGCCATAACACAGTAACTTATATTGAATATTTATAAAATTAATCTTTTTGAATGATACATTTTTATTATATTTTTCCAAAAACATACGTATATATATATATATTTATAAATATTTTAGTTTTTCTCCCCTTTCTTCTTCTGTGACATTTATATTCATTTGTTCCTCTGCCTTCAAGTCTCAACTCTGCTGTTTAGTGTAGCTTAATCAAAATGAGTTTAAAGTCCCAAAGCCTCATTGGAAGCAAAATGGAACACCTCGGTTTCAAAATAAGTTTCTTTGTGAGAGAAATACTAATTTCAATAGTAAAATGGTGAATAGAGATGAACATTTCAGGAGTTTCTCACCACAGTGGTAGGAAAATGTGATTTGAGGTCATGTAAAATTGGTTTTGAATACCTGCTCTACCGTATACTGCCAGGATAACCTTCCACAAACCACTTACTATTGCAGAACCCGTTTCTTCATTTATACAATTAAAAGAAATAACTCTTACTAAATCAGCTTATATATATATATATATATATATATATATATATACATGCAAATGCATTACAGGAATTCAATACACCTTGTTTTATATTTATGGCAACAGCAAGATTTCAATGTTGCATGTTATATGAAAAAACTTTGAAATTGGATAATTTGTGTGGTCTTCAAAAACATATCATATAAAAGTTAACCAAATACATCCTCTGTCATATTTGTGCAAGCTACTTCATTTAATGTTTCTACTTATTTACCTTCACAATTATTAATAGATTAATGTATTTTGGTTGTTTACAATATGGTATGCATTTTTGAACTAATGTTAAAGCTTAATATTCACATTATCAAATGTATTTCTTACTACATATTTAGAATAATAGTTCAATATGATAATTATATTATAATAAATTACTTATTAAAAAGTACATATGTTATAATCAAATCCCAAATAATGATCATTGGTATTATTTTACTATTAATATTTTTATGTTTATTACAGTAATACATATCCACTGTATAAATTTTGGTAAGTAAAGTATAAAGAAGAAAATAACTATCATAAATTAATAACAAACTGGGAACAATTTTGCAACTTATGACAAATTATTGCAGTCTAGTAGAAAAGTGTTCTTATAAATCAATCAAAGAAGAAAAATGTCCCAATATAAAAATGAGTAAAGAATAAGCAGTTCCATAAAAATAATATAGTAATGGTAGTAACCAAAGTAACTAGGAATTCTAATCAAAACAGTGATTTATACCTTTTATTAACTCACAGACTAATAAAACAGTTCAAAAGATAAGTGTTGGTGAAAGTGTGGGAAAACCAGAATTCTTATACATTGAGGGTTACTTTGAAAATATAAAAAAACACAACAATTTCCCTTCTAAAGGACCATAAACATGTACAATGAATTTTTACAATATTGCTTATAATAGGAAATATTTATAAAAATGTCTAAATACCCAGCAATATTAAATTTACTGAATTATAATATAGTCATACAACAGACATTGTTAAACCTGAAAATTGCAAGTGTCTATTTGTTTTGCAATACTATGAGCATTTTCCAATATCATTATATATCCTACCTTTTAGTATGCTTCTAATTGTTCACTATTATAGAGAAATATATGATAAACATTATTGCATATAGACTTTGTGAATATATCTATGATCACCTTTTTTTGAGACAAATTCCCAGAAAGTAAATTTACTAGGTTAAGGACATAAACTAAGTGTTTTCATGATTTAATTGTTGGATGGGTTTTTAGGAGTAGAGGAATAATAATACAATTTGATTATTAAAACCCCAGGATTTTAATTAAGACAAGCTGCTGAACATCTTTGATCTTATTCTTTAGCTATTTTTTTTATTGTATTTTTTTTCTATTAAATCTTGGCTCTATGACAAATGCAAATACAATTTATCACATAGAAATGGACTTTTCTTGCTTCTTTGTTAAGAACTTTTCCATAATATCATATTTTATCCTTCCAGACGTGGGTTGGCAATAAGAGAAGAAAAATGAGTAGTAAGAATTCTGACTCAGGAGCAACAACAGGAACTGTTACCGGTACCTCTTTGACAACTCCAGACATTACAGTCAGAAATGTTGTTAATATTACTCGACCTTCAAGCCAACAGACCTCTTGGACATCTGCCAATAATGATGTCATTGTAACTGGTATATATAGTCCAGCCAATTCATCCAGTAGACAGGGGACAACCAAACATACAAATACACAAATTACTGAAGCACATAAATTCCCTATTCAGAAAACAACCAGTAAAAATGATACTGAGTTTCAGTTGCACATTCCTGTTCAAAGACAAGTAGCACACTGTAAAAATGCCTCTCTGCTTTTAGGTGAAAAAACAATTATTTTGTCCAGACAGACAAGTGTGTTAAATGCTGGAAACTCAGTATACAATCACACAAAGAAAAACTATGGAAACTCTTCAATGCAAGCTTCTGAAATTGCAGTACCTCAAAAGCCATCTGTGTGTCACCGACCTTGCAAAATTGAACCAGTTGGAATTCAAAGGTCATATAAGCCTGAACACACAGGTATAGCATCACATAACTTATGTGGGCAAAAGCCACCTATTAGAGACCCTTACTGTAGAACACAGAACTTGGAAATTCGTGAAGTATTTTCATTGGCAGTTAGTGATTACCCCCAAAGAATTCTGGGAAGAAATGCTTCACAGAAGTCTAGTTCAACAGAAGGAACTTGTTTGTCCATTGCAATGGAGACTGGTGATGCTGATGATGAGTATGCCAGAGAGGAAGAGTTGGCATTGATGGGAGCACAGATACCAAGCTACTCAAGATTTTATGAAAGTGGCAGTTCCCTACAAGCTGAGAACCAAAGTACAGCTTTGCCTGGACCAAGAAGAAATATGCCAAATTCACAAATGGTGAATATTAGAGACTTGTCAGATAATGTATTGTATCAAAACAGAGACTACCATTTGACACCACGGACCTCATTACATACAGCATCTACTACAATGTACAGTAATGCAAATTCATCACGGAGTAATTTTTCTCCACATTTTTCATCTTCAAGCCAATTGAGATTATCACAAAACCAAAACAATTACCAGGTAATGTGTAAGTCTATAAAGGTTTTTTAAAAGTTTTGATTTTTATATCTGTATAAAGTTTGATCTGTGTACATGTGTTGGTATCCAATTAGGCTTAATATCTGGGTCACTTAACACATATTTTGAAGTAATTTGAATTTTTTTGAAAGCAGTGGTTTGGGGTCAACACTTAAAGAATCTAGTGCTTTCTTTATCATGCTTACAAATGGTGATAAATTTTGTTAAATTAATTAATTCTTTATTTGTATATATTTTACATCAGGTGTAGTCCCCATAGGATTTCCATCATCAATTATATTTTTTTAATTCCTGGCATTTTTATCCTGACATTTAAAATGGTTTTGCTCAAAAAATGGTAGCCTTATGGGAAGCATGACATTTCCCATCATTAAAATAGAACTAAATTGGCTGACCTCATGTTGTGAACATAGATTATTCCTGTGATGATTTTTGCTTGTAGCTTAGGGAGATTTCACTGAATGAATGGTGAATGGTGATTTCTTGGGCACAAACACAAACAAGTCCATTATTTCTCTGGGTTTCACTAGATGAAAGGTCAGAGCCTACATTAACTTACTCAACTGTTCATTCTAAAAGAAAATGCCTTATTAAAACTTTAATTGGAACATTAGTCAAATAATATTTTTAAAATGTTTATAAGAAAGACAGTCAGAGTGAGAATTAAAATATTAGACCTGTGTAAAAGTAGGTGTTATTTCTTTACTTTTCACATATTCAGTAGTTTAGATAGGTTTAAAATAATCTCAACAATGAAGTATAAACCTATCTCAGAACATCTCCTAAGATCATGGATTTCTTTCTGAAAATCTGCTTCAGAGAATTCGAATAGCAGGGTATAGATGCTTGTCATTTTTCTTTGCTACTAGTTAGACCCTTTAATCTGGTCAACCACAGTATTTAAGTTTTAACTGTATTTAAGGTGCTTTCAGGTTATTCTCCACCAATATAAAGAATCAACTTCTTCAATCTTATAGCTCCCTCCTTCAAAATGAAAAGCAATAACAGAGTATAGGGACTATTTCTGGCAACTGGCCCTGACAGAAGACTCAATTATCATAATTAAAAGTTCTTACTTTACTGAGAAACTACTCAATTTTTGTATTTGCTCTTCCATGCTTAAAGTAACATTGACTGATACCATTAAAATCCTTCCCAATACCCACCTTCATTCTCCTACATTTTTGTACTAATTTTCTCCTTCAATGTTTTTAATAGTAGTAATAACATTTTACATTTGTTGAGACCCTTCCAGATACCAGGCACCATCAGTCACTTTATGTATACCTGGGGTCATTTAGTATTCATGTCAATCTGGATATTTAGGCACTTAGCCGTACTTTAATAACTTGTCCAAGATCATATGTCCAGTATATGACGGAGCCAGTATCCAAGTCAGAAATATATCATTTCCACTGCTTTTCCATACAGTGTAATGACTTCAACTGTTTTAGAATATTGGGAGGACTAAGAGTACAGAGATTAATTTTTAATTTTTCCTAAACCAAATATCTTTTATGGATAATTTAACCTATGAATTGACTGCTTAAATAATCTCTTTTTTTTCTAATAACTTTTTAAAAAAGATTTATTTATTTATTAATACAAGCACTGGGTACAGTCAGAAGTGCGGGAGGGTGAGAGAATTCACCAGAGCCAGAGGGGGGAACAGAACAGGCAGACTGATGAAATACACTGCTGAGGGGAGCAGCGGGCGCTGCAGGGGAGGTCTGTCGCATCATGTGGGAGCCTTGCTGGTGGCCGGGGATCGAACTCCCGCTGCAGAGGCTGCAGGAAGCTTCACAGCCCAGTGCTCAACCGCTGTGCCCCCAGGGAGGCCCCTAATAACTTTTAAAGGAATTAAGTTTGGTCAGGCTCTGACAAGTGACATAACTTCTCTGTGTAACAATTACCTTCATATATATAAAATGTGGTTAATAAAACACAGTTTTCAGGAATGCTTTGATATGAAATGCCACATTTTGTGCAAATTTCTTTGTACATCTCTTGACATATAAACTTTCTCATACTTATGACCTCATAAGTTGTTAAATTAATGAAATCCTGCTAGTCTGGGTCTTCTTTACATTCCATTTCAAGAAAAATACTGCAGAGTCTACAATTATTAGACTAGTTAAGGAATGAATAACTATAGTTTGAGAGAAGATTGGAGATCATTTATCAACCCCACCATAATCATTGCATTAAAAACCCATATATTCCTATTTTTATTATACCAGACCTCCTCTAACTTGACCTGAGAGAGTTTGTTACAGAGTGTTTTCAGAAAACCCTAGAGACATCACTTTGTCTCACCTTTATTTTAATTAATTGATATGTGGGGAAACTAAGGAAGCCTAGAAACTGGGTGGCTAAAACAAGAAACATTTGTTTCTCACAATTCTGGAAGCTTGGAATCTCAAGATTAGGTGTTGCTGGCAGATTCACTGTCTGGTGAGGGCCTACTTCCTAATTCATAGACAGCCATCTTTTCATTGTGTTCTCATTTAGCAAATGAGGCAAGGGATTCTCGGCTCTCTCTCTCTCTCTCTCTCTCTCTCTCTCTCTCTCTCTCTCTCTCTCCCCCTTTAAATAAAGCATACCACTTTTAATGCCAACTTTTTAAAAGATTTATTTATCTGCCATAATAATGCTTGCCAGAACTATGGTACAGGCCAGAGGTTGGAGTGGGGGGTGAGAGGATTCACCAGAGACAGAGTGGGGAGCAGAACAGGAAGACTGACTGAAATACACGGCTGAGGGGAGAAGCAGGTGAGTCAGGAGAGGTCTGCTGTGCCATGTGTGTTGCTCCCTGGCGGCTGGGGGTCGAACTCATGCTGCAGAGGGTGCGTATAGCTTCATAGGTTGCATCTTAACCCCTTGCGCCACCAGGGAGGCCCTCGGTTCTCTTTTGTAAAGGCACTAATTCTATTCATGAGATACTCCATCCTTAGAACCTTGCCTCCTCCCAAAAGGCCCTCCTCCAAATACCATCAAATTGTGTATTAGTTTTCAATATATGAATTCCTCTGGGACACAACCATTCAGTCTATGGTAATTGTCCTACAAGATTTTGATGAAGCTCTATTACCAAACTATATTACTTTTGGGTTGGGCTTAGAAAAATAAAACCCATGGTCATCTTTGCAACTTTTGGCAATGAAATTGTAAGCAAGTAATTGTCTAGTTTCTGACCCTGGGTCTCTAAAGCAGGGGTTTCTGCCTCTCCTCTCTGCTACACCAGGAATATTCAAGGCCATGTTCCTGGAAGATAGTCTAGTTCTAAACTATCTAGGAAATGAGTACAAATTGAGAAAGTCCTAAAGAATACTAAGAAGTTCAAATCAGCTTGGTTTTGGAGCCATTTTCAAATATATTAAGACTGAAGTAATAATAAGGAACTCTGAGGAAGTAGCTATACCAGGATATAATAGCCTGGTTCTATATCAAAACTCTCCAGTTTAACCTCAGTTCTTTGGGGCTGATTTCAAACATATTGTTCCCCAAAGTGTCATTCACTCTTCATAGTGCTGTAATTAATAATTAATTATTATCTATATGAAGATATTGGAAGACAAGTGTTAAAATATGGGGGGGCTTTGTCACAATTATTGTGGTATACTAATTAACTGCATTCCTTCTCATGTACTACAAAAGGGTTAAAGAGTTAATAAAAGTAGAGCACTTTAAACTTTTAAACTTACAAAGATACTTTATAAGTACAATTTATCCCCATTCATGAAAGTGCTTTTTTTTAAGGTTTATTTATTTTATACAAGAACCGGGGTACAGGCGAGATGCGTGGGAGGGTGAGAGGATTCACCAGAGACAGAGTGGGGAACAGAACAAGCAGACTGACTGAAATACACTGCTGAGGGGAGCAGCGGGTGCGACAGGAGAGGTCTGCCACGCCATGTGGGACCCTCGCTGGCTGGCCAGTATTGAACCGGCTCTGCAGAGACTGCAGACAGCTTCACAGCACGGCACTCAACCACCTGCGCCACCAGGGGAGGCCCCATAAAAGTGCTTTGGTGGTGTCCTCCAACTTTCTTCCATGTTTGTGGGCTTCCGTGAATTTATTTTAATTTTTTATTGAAGTAATATTGTTTTACAACACTGTATATTATTTAGGAGAATAGGTTCACATTTCTTTACTGTTGGTGGAAATGTAGACTGGTTCATTCAGTGTATTTAAATAAATATGAAAGTTTAATAGTTTAGAATCTTTAAACACCATGGCATTCTAAAACAATACAAATAGTATTTTGAACTCTGAAAAAGTAAAACCAATAAGATTAAATAAATGGTATTGCTAAACTATTAATAACTCTCAAACAAATGTTCAGTCTTAAAAAGTAACAGAAATCTATGTTGAATGGATATAGCTAGCATGGTTCATTTTAAAACAAATGTTATTAAGATATTACTAACAGTATAGAATACACACATTAAGTGTACACTTCTGTGTTTTGAAATTTATTTACAGATTTTTTTCAAGCAACACCATAATCTAAGTTTAGACCATTCATTACCCCAAAAATGAAATACATGCTATTTAGCATACCAAATCCCCCATTCCAGCACTTAGTAACCACTGCTCTTCCTTCAGTCTACATGGATTTACTTATTCTGTATTTGTATTATATATATATATATATGGAATCATATGATATGTATATGTATATATATATGAGAAATATATATATATGTATATATATATGGATTCATACAATATGTGGCCTTTGTAACAGGCTTCTTTAAATTAGCATGTTTTCAAGGTTCATCACATTGTGTTATGTATGAGCACTTCATTCTTCTATGATTATTCTAGGATATTCCATTGTATGTGTGTAGCATATATCCTTTACCCATTCATTAATTAATGGGTATTTGAGTTGTTTCTATATTTGACTACTATAAATTATGCTGCTGTGAACATTCATATATAAATTTTTGTGTGCGCATATGTTCTCAAATCTCTT